GTTGTTTCTCTGCTGTAGAAGTCGTCCAGTTCTGCATCATCAGAGGCCTCAGAAACATGCCAGTCCGTCAGTGAATGCAGCTCCCCCACCACGGTAAGTGTCTCCGTGTCGGCTGTACAACATGGCGTCAAGCCGCCAGAGCCCAACAACACTGACAAAGCACCGAGGAGAAAAACACAGACAAAAATCAGTGGTCCGTGTTGCTCTTACAGTAAGTTTTTATAACGGTGTTTGGTTTCTCAGCGCTGAAGGAGCAACAATAAACTGCAGTTAAACAAGTCAAGAGTGAAAAAGCCTCAAAAAGGGTTCCGTTCCAAAGACTTTGGGGTTTTTCAAGATTCAAAAGGTTTATTTGTCTCGTGCTCAGTTATACGCGTACGACCTGCAGTGACATGTGACCCTGAACCATCAGTGGATCCACAAAAAATAAACATCCTGCAAACAAAATTCAGTTCAATTCAAGTTTATTTATATAGCGCCAAATCACGACAAGAGTCGTCTCAAGTCACTTCACATAATAAACATTCCAATACAGGCCAGTTCATTAAGCCAATCAGAAATAATGTTTCCTATATAAGGAACCCAGCAGGTTGCATCGAGTCACTGACTAGTGTCAGAGTCTTCACAGCAATCCTCATACTAAGCAAGCATGCAGCGACAGTGGAGAGGAAAACTCCCTTTTAACAGGAAGAAACCTCCAGAGAATCCTGGCTCAGTATAAGCAGCCATCCTCCACGACTCACTGGGGATCGAGAAGACAGAGCAGACACACACACACACACACACACACACACACGCGTACGCACACGCACACACACACACGCACGCACGCACGCACACACAAAGTCGTGTTTCTATGGTTACATTGTGATTTCTAAGTAAATATTCTGTTTAGTAAGAGATAAACTTTATGGTATTTATCCTAGTGGATCTATAATTAATTAAATTCAGGTAAACTAGTACATTCAAAGTCAAAGGAAACTGTTTAAGTGGTTAGCAGCAGTGTGCTAGACGATGGCCCCCTCCATGAGGCCACCACAGCTCAGCAGAACATCATTGTAGCTTCTTCTGGGGAGAAAAACACTTAGAGAGAAAATAAAGTTAACAGCTGAAATAGCAGGAAATATTACAGTTAAAGAGCAGACTGTAGAAGAAAGTAGTAGAGTGTGGAAAGTGGTCAGTGTGTCCTCCAGCAGTCTAAGCCTATAGCAGCATAACTACAGAGATAACTCTGGATAACCTATCCTTTTAGATGGAGGCATGTCATCCTACAACATGTTGTAATTAAGAGAAAATGTTCATAATTCCACTGAAACGTGGAGGAACACTTTTGTAAACGTCTTTGTGGAGATTTTAGGTTTAAACTCTTGATGTTACTTGTTAACATTCAGAAAGTTGTGGTCAGAAGTTTACATCCACTCATTAGTTTTTTTACTTTTAATATTTAGTTTGAATCCTTGTTTGTCAGAGTAACCGTACAACTTCAGTCATTTATGAAAACATGAAACCATCTTGAATCCGGTTTGCTTCTCACGGCTCAAAAATAAACATCCCCTCAGTATTTGGGTAGCGGGTTTCCCCTCAGCTGCTTTTGTGTTCTTAATAATACACAGAAAAGCAGAGTTTGTTGTTTTACCTTTCAACGAGAACACAAAAGCATGAATATAAAGCAACACCGACAGAACGTAACAAAGATACCACCAAGCTTCTGCAACTGTGGCTGCTGTCGGGCTCTTCTCGTAGGATTCCTTCTAGCTAGCGTTTCTGAGATGGACTTGACCTTTAAAGGTGTGGAATACTCATTAATTCAATCCATTTGCATTTTTATAGTAGGAAAGAATGTTGTACTCTGGGGAAACAAAGCACTGGTGCGCAATTTTCAGGAACTAGAAGTGAGCCACATCACAGCTGAGCTTCGTACGACAGGATTTGGAGTCTCATTTCCTGATATTTCAACACATTCTCACACCCTAAGTATCGAAAAATGACATGGTGTGACCAAGCGTTTGTTTCCCACACGTTGGGAGCTCCTGCGCGTCAGGAAGCGACGCGCTGTGCCAGAGCGTCGGTATCCGACGCCCGCGGTAAAACGGACATTTGGCCGAATTGTGACCTTTACCCTCTTGCTATTTAACCTTCCCCTCACCCGCATCCTAACTTAACCAACTTGCGCATGCGAAGCTTTGTTTCGCGTTTCATCGCTCCTCTCAAACACATTTAACGGAAAATTTAGACTGACATACAGGGTTAAGGTTAGGATGGGGGTGAGGGGACGGTTAAATTGCTAGAGGTTAAAGGTGAAATGTCGGTGAAATCTCTGTTTTACCGCGGGCATCAGAAACCGATGCTCTAGCACAGCGCGTCGCCTCCCGACGTGCAGGAGCTCCCAACGCATCAGAAACAAACGCTTGGTGACACCGTGCCATTTTTCGACACTTAGGGTGTGAGAGCGTGTTGGATATTTGGACATCTCACCTCTGACTGGCGACAAATCTACCACCGATTCTGTTTGCTCTGCAATGTTGATGTTTTATTTCCACAAATAACACAAGCCTGCAGGAGTTCTGCCATGTGGTGGGGTTGCTAATGCTAACAGTTAGCTTCTACTAGTCGAGAAGTTCTTTGCTGTTTTCTGGCCGCTAAGCCAACAACAGCCTCCCCCGTTTTGAGCTCAGATGGGTGAGTCCATGAATGTAAGGTGACAGTGTGACGTAGATCTGTCAGGATTTTCCAATCGTAGACTTTCACAGACTATTTCCTGCCAGAAGCTAATGCAGGAGATAGGTGTAGGAGACTATTTTCATGTTCAGCTTTTGAACACTGTCCATAACTTTGAGTTGAGGTCTTTGAAGTTTGGAAGAGACATTCCAGAAGCTTCATGTTGGCCGGTGTTATTTAACCAAGGCCCAGTTCTGGGGGTTATTGTCACTGGGGGGGTGGGGGGGGGGGGGGGGGGGTGCTCCCAGCCCTTGGTGATCTGAGGGTGACGGTTCAGTCTCGGTCCATTTTGGTACAAGAAACATTCTTTATGCTACAAGAAGACTGTGTGTGACAGAGAAGGAATCCAAACACGTCCAACTTCTGAACTCTTTTAAATATGTTGTCTAATCACGCCATCCTGCTTCTGACTAACAACCATAGAACATGCGCTTAAAGCAGAGATTCTGAATTATTTTCCGTTATTTTCTCCTTTGTTTGTTTGACGATGAAGAACAAAATCAGATTGTCAGTGTCTGTGAAGGGATCGGCAGCAGCTGTGATGATTGAGGTGGAAGAAAGTCGCTGCTGGAGCGCTAACTGTCTGCCGCAGCAGCAGAAGCTTGTCAGAGTTTCGTTGTTAGAAGAAATCCGTCAGAGATCCGGTTCTGAAAGGGAACACGGGTTTGACAGATATGGTTGTCTGGGAGCTTAATGGTTCCTCCTGTGGAGAACGGGCTTATTGTGTTTTGGAAAATAAAAATTCTATTCTCCGATAAACCGTTAACGAATGTACACCAGTGAGGTTTGAAATGTGTTCAGTGATCAGTAGCTAAGTGGTTTTACCTTTTACATGCAGCCAGGTGAACGTCTCTCTTTTAGAACCACACACGTGCTACGTTCTGTTCCCCTTCAACTGGTGACAGGAAACCCACATAAATCCTGCCGATCACAGCGGAGGATTCTGTTCTCAGAGCTGAAATTCTTCTCTTTCTCTACACATTCTTTGACAGCTGTGCACATCTGTTTGTCAGGAAAACACAATTATATAGCTGCTGCTCAGGGTCCAAAGCAAACGTTCATTTCTGATTCTAAGTAGCATCTGTCACTCACAACAGCTCTCCTCAGCGACAGCCTTCTGCTGTGATCCAGCTCTAATTTGAGCAGCAAACATCGTCAGGACGGGTTGTTTGCTCCACTTCAACGGGATATCAGGACAACAGCCTTGCACAAACGCCACGGAGGAGCTGCAAAATAATCCTTCCAACTTTTGGTCTCTGTAGCACCAGGCTCTTGGGTTTTTATACTAAATGATGAAAACTGTTGGTGATGACATGTTCAGTCCAATCACATAAGACAGGATAAAAATCATGAGAGGTTTAAAAACGTGTCTGCTAACATCTCTGAAAGCTCAGATCGCTTTCAGCATTTCATCTTTCTGCATCCACTTCGAACGGTGTTGGGCGAGTGCTGCACATGTGCTCGGAGCAAGCATGGAGCTGCCAGCAGCAACAAGACGTGGCTGAGAAGTAAAACGCAACTTGTCAGAGTTGGTCCGAGCGGGCGTCAGTGGGTTGCAACATGAACGCTCCTCATAACACTCATGAAGGATCTTGATTTTCTGGTGAGTTTCTCTAAAAGGTTTAATCAGATGAACGAATTCACAACAAACTTTTAAAAAATCTGACTCGTCACACTCGGGTTAGTAATAATAATAATAATAATAATAATAATAATAATAATAATAATAATAATAATAACAATAATAATACATTGTATTTAAAGCACCTTTTAAGGAAAGGTAACAAAAACAATGCAACATCTATTTGAAGAGGTTTTAGTTTGGATTGGAAAGTGGAGAGGGAGCCAGAGTTCCAGATGGCTCGTGGCTGAGAAGTCCAGAGGGGGGGAGCAGAGCAGCTGAAGGACCTGAGGCCCATGGAGGTGAGACAGAAGGATGCAACAGTTAGGTGGACAGAGGATGACGTGAACGAGATCAGAGAGAAATGGGGGGAGATTGTGAACATCTTTGAAAGTGAGAAGTAGGACTTTAAATGGAGACCAGGCAGTTTTGGCTTGCTAGTGTTCGTTTGTACAACCGAAAGCAGAATCTCCTCACTGTGCCGCGAGGGGGTGTGCGAGGTCTAAAATGTAACGAATTACAGAGTTCAGTTCTTCTTGGAAATACTTCCCAGCCATCGACACATCTCAGCGTGGATTCACAAACCGTTTGAAGTGTCCCTCCTGGTCCGGAGGGAAGACCATCGGAGAGCTTTGTACCCACCCGGCGCATTCATATATGGTGCCCATCTGGTGACACTGAGGAGAAAAACAATAACTTGTGGCCATGATTTGTAATTATGTGGCAAGGTGGAGAAACGAGGGCCCGGGTGGGATTCCATCCCCAGACTCCAGGGTGAGAGGCACATGTGCTAGCCAGTCAGCCAAAGGACATCCCCTTGGCCAAGTAGCCAGGATGCATGATCAATCAGGGTACAGTGACAGGAGGCTCACCCTGTCACATCTGCATGAGTGGTGTGTTCCAGGAATGGCTTTCCTGAAAGGTTCTCCCCTTAAAAGCCCTCAAATCATTAACGTTTAGCTAGCATTAGGTTTTATCATGAGGGTACGGATACTTCTTTTCAAGAATACCAACCAGTTGTTTTATTTAATCAATCAAACCATTCAATACCGCAGGTGTTTCATCTTTTGTCACACACAACTGCGCACCAATAAAGTGTACAGCAGCTAACGGGCAGAGGCACACCTGTCGGGTTTTCTCTAACAGACGCTCTGAGAAAACACCGGCTCGTTCCAGCGGGGATAAGCTGACAGCTGGGCTGATATTTGTTTGATAGGAAAAACAATTCTTCTCTAAAGCCCTTTTGAGTTCAATGAAATGTTTCCATTAGCTCTGGAAAGGAGCGTTTTGTCTCTGCGCACCAATCAGTGAATGATTATTGCCATCTCAGGCTCCATGACCGCTTTTTAAAATGTTTTTATTTATTTAGATTTGCTGCTCCAAAGCCCATCGCTGCATGGTGCTGCTCCAAGGGCATTAAACCATTTGGTCATGCCTATAAGGCCCAGTGCCTGTATATCCGTCTCGGTTGTCATGGTTACCCGTGACATTTCCGCACAATAGACAGCAGCGTTCTGAGTCGTGTCCTGTGTCAATGCAACTTGAAAACCCAACAGGATCTGCCCATTAGCTGCGGTGCAGTTTATAGGTTATAGTTTGATTCAGACGCGCTGGCGCCTGACACAGTTAGTACACCGGTAAGTAATTCAAAGACATGTGAAAGTACGCCAGTCACTACACAAGCAACAAAGGAGAGGAGGACACACACTATATATCGTCAGCTGTCCATGGTGCTGAAAAAAAAGACAAATCACCTGCTTATTGGACGGTGTTATTTAAAAGAAACATCAGTAACCGACGGTGGCACAGGAGTTAAGTGCTCGCCCCGTAATCGGAAGGTTGCAGGTTCGAGCACCGCTCAGTCTGTCGCTGTCGTTGTGTCCTTGGGCAAGACACTTAACCCACGTTGCCTGCTGGTGGTGGTCGGAGGGACTGGTGGCGCCTGTGCTCTGTCAGTGCGCCCCAGGGCAGCTGTGGCTACATCGTAGCTCATCCCCACCAGGGTGTGAATGTGTGTGTGAATGGGTGAATGACTGATTGTGTTGTAAAAGCGCCTTGGGGGGTTCCAGGACTCTAGAAGGCGCTATATCAAATACAGGCCATTTACCATTTACCATTTATGATAAAACCTAATATTAGCTAAAAGTTAACGATCTTGGGATTTTAAGAGGAGATCCCTTCAGGACAGCTGACCTCTGGAACACAGCCCTCACACATAGAGGGAGTGAGAGAGTGCTGTCAAGGTTGGCACCCAGGTCCTTAACCCGAGTGGACGGAGAAGCAATGGAGGAGTCATCAGTACGAGAAACACTCAGCTTTGTGTGAGGAGGGTTTAGTTCCAACAAGTAAGACTTTTGTTTTGTCACTGTTAAATTTGAGGAGGTTAGTGGAGAGCCAAGCTTTAATTTCAGTGAAACGAGAGGGGAGGGAGGAGGGAGGAAGTAGAGCTGGGTGTCATCTGCAAAGCAGTGGAACTGAAAGTTAAACTTCTGGAATACGTGACAAAGCGGAGGAAGGTGGATAAGGTTAGTTTTGGTAAGTCAGAAGGTGAGAGAAACATAGCACAGATTTGGTGACTGACCCAAAACAGAAGAACATAGTCATTTGTGACAAATGTAAAATATAATTTGGACAAATGTGAGCAAATTTGACTTGTTGCAACTAAATCAATCAAGACAACAAGGAAGATATTTGAGAAAGTGCATTTACCGTCTGGACCCACAGAAGCATTTTGCATTCAGCCGCAACAGAATAAAACAAAGAAAATGCTCGTTTTTTCTGAAATAACAAGATAATTTTTACAGAAAAATATAGAATAAAAATGATCCCTCTGATGTGCTAATGATGCTTTTCCACACACATCATCCGTCCAGCCATTGTCTGAACCCGCTCTGTCCACGTATGGCCGGGGGGGGGGGGGGGGGGGGGGGGGGGGGGCTCTCTCCAGCAGCCAATGGTCTATCTGGTGGGGTACACCCTGGACAGAGAGCCAGTCCATTGCAGTAGAGGAAGTCAGCCTCTTAATATTTGCAGCACCTTCTCCAGATGATCGGCTCACTGATAGCAGGTTCAAGCAGTCATCCCGCTACATTTCCAATCCCCAGCCACCCTCTCTCAGACGCCGGACAAACGGACAGCGAGGGGTATTCCAGAGCCGAGTCATCATTCCTGCCCATCCATTTCAGAGACAGCAGCTATTTGGCACAGTGTCTCAATCCCAAAACAAAGTGAAAATGAATTAAACTCAGCAAACGAGACATGTTTGAGTTCCTCCGTTAGCCCGTCAATAATGCTGCAGAGCAACATTAGCACTTCAGAGGGAGGATTTTTGTTTGTTTCTGTAAAAATTATCTCATTAATTTGGAAAAAACAGAGCAGTTTTTATTATTTTCTTTAAGAAATGTCTCGTTATTTCAGAAAATAACAGAGCTTTTGATGTTTTGTGGTGGAATGCAATACGCTTCCAGTACTCACTCCCTTTAATGTTTGTTTCTTTGACCAGGCCAATGAATGGAACAGAAATGACATTAAAAACAGCTTTAGCTTAGGGGTGGGCAATATGCCAGAAAGTTATTTATTTGCTGTTTACTCATAATTTTATCTCAGCTTTTTCTTAAACTTTACCAAGTTTTTACCACCAAACATTTCCCCTGTTAAAAACTGCTCTAAGAGACACTGATAGCTGCTTTGGTGTCCTTATGCTAGCTAGTGACGCCTCCTCATGGGGTGAATCATCAACTCACTATTAAACGTCACCAAGTAAACACGGCGTCATGTGCTTTCTTTAGGTGAATAAGAACTTCTACCTCTCAATTGCAGACTCCCACCATTGATGTTGTCTGTTTTAGCCATTGCACATACACAAACAAACAAATAAATAAATAAATAAATAAATAAATAAATGAATGAATGAATAAATAAATAAATAAATAAATAAATAAATAAATAAATAAATGAATAAATAAATAAATAAATAAATAAATAAATAAATAAATAAATAAATAAATAAATCTGAGCCTCTGGGCTGAATATTGACTCCTTTTCTTCTATTTTTATTATTTGAAATGAAAAGGCTTATGGTTTCACTAGTTAGCAAAAGAGCTGGTATAGGGGTAAACATCTGGATCGCTTTGTTCAAGAGATAAAATGTTTAATAACGACAGAATAGCTGGTACTGAGGGAATCTGTCTTTGTCTGTGTGTTCAGGAGCCGCAGAGATTGTGGGGAGGGTTGATAAAAGTGAAGCTAAAGGATAAAGATCTGAGTAGGAATATTTATGACTTCACTGTGATCTGGCCATAATTTCCTGCTGTTTTGCATGTCCAACCCATCGCTGCTCACTCTGGCCCTTTTGACGAGACACAGTGTGGGCAACATCACATAAACAGCAACCGCGCCTTGGCGGAACAGAGAGAGGTGTCATGGTCACACGGGGAGTTACTGCCGAGCTCCGGCCGGTGTTATGTTGACATGTGTCCCCCCCTCGAGATCTGTTTCTTTTGCACCCAGCTGTGAGTGGACCACATATCGACGTAACACCGGCTATTGAATTGAAAATGAAAGTGAGCGTGGGCTGTACGTTTTGCTTTTGTAAGCAGAACCGGCTGAGATGTTAGACTGAAGCGAGGCAGCGCTCCTGGAGCTTGTCTCTGTTAGAGCTGGAGCTCAGGTCACCAGAGGCTGCACGGGGACTGATGGGGACAGACACCTTCAGGAGCGCCCTGTTAAAAAAACGTAATGAGCGTGGCTTTGGTGGTCATAAAAAGCAAAACGGACTTCCCAGCAGTGCAGAGACTGCCTCCACTCCCCTTTATGCTGCCATTGCCTAATCTTTTGTGAAAAGGACACGATTGCGCCACATTACCGCCATGGTCTGACCACTTCTACACGACCTAAAGCTCCTGATGCCGCCACGGCGTTGAGGCAGATTGACGGCTGTTTTGCAAAAGAGGCTTCTGTTTCCCCTGCAGCCGGAGGAGAGGCCGGCACCGGGGCTACTCTTGCTTTCTGTGCTACAACCCTGGTTTGGAAAATGTCCAATCCTGCCACTCTGAATGTGAAATGTGCTGTTTTGGTTTTACGTTGCTGATCCTGTACACCCCACCACCAGATTAGCCCATTCATGCTGTGCAAAGTAGCTGAAACTGGGTTCTCAGGAGTTATGAAGCCACTCTGACACCTACTCATCTGCTGCTCCTCTGTTCCACGTGGAGGCTGTGTGTTGGATGTGATGAAGGCTTGCGTTCTCGTGTGTGACTCCACCGCTGGCTGCATCTGTTTGTGCGTGTGGCTTTTCCATTCTCTGATGACACCACTGTCTCTCGTCCTGCAGTTTGGCCCGTCCTTCGCTACCTTCCGCCCTGCTCTTTCTCACTCTGGCTCCACCAGGCCTCTCTCTGTCATTCTTCCTGTTCCTGCGTCCCCACCCTATAACCGCCCCCCTGGATCCAGCTCCTCCTCTCCCACATCAAAGGTTCCCATGTGGAAGGTTTGTTTTCCATTCACAGCCATTTCTTCAGTTACACCTTTTCTTCTGTTCCTGCTCAGCGAGTTGCTCTGGTTTTAAACGTTGTGCCTGTTTTTCCTTTACGATTAACTCATCCATAAGCACATTGTTTCCTGTCTTTAAACATCCATCCTCAGTTGCTGTGTGCACGATTCCTTTCTGGCTCCCCTTGCCTTCCTGGTTTTGTTCACCACCAACTGGTGATTGACCAAAACCAAGAAGATGTCAAGTCATCAACATAAGCGATTTTAAATATGGTCCAAGCCCACTTGAACAGCCTCACACACACCCAGACAGACCCAACCCACCCACGAGGATCTCCTTCTCTGCACTCAGGCCAAGCCCTTCAAACTGCTGGACAGTCTCTTTTCCTAAACCAGCCACTTCCTGTTTACTAATCCCTCCCACTTTTTTAGGATTGGTCCAAAGGTCAGTATGAACAGCCAGCTGCAGCAGCACTTGTTCAGAGGAGGAAGGAGCCGTCTGACCGGCTCAGAGAGAGCGAGGGCTCGCCAGGCTCCCAGGGATATGCTGGAGCATCACACCCTGAGGACGGACAGAAGCCCAGGATGACACCTGCTACAATCGCTGCCAAGGTCCGTTTACAGAACACACTAAGGTGTAATTAGTCCACCTGGTCACAGTACACTAATAAAACTTCTGTTTCTGCAGTGTGGTTTTTAACGAGCCACTGTACTCATGAAGGGTTTTACCTGGATCTCAGTTTTGATTCTGAGTCAGAAATGTGAGGCAAGTTTGGGACGAGCCTGGGAACATTTTACTACCAAAATGAAATATAATGGAGACGCTGTGTGGCTAAATGTGACATTTGCATGATTGCAGTTTGTCAGCACTTGCCTCGCCCACGTAGTCACACAGACCAGTTCAGTTTGATTCCAGCAGAGAGTTGGAAGATCTACCAGAAGGCTGTAATTTCCACATAAAAGGTTTCTGTTTCCAGCCGTATTTCTGCTAATCCCCACGGTCCTTGTGTTTTAAAAGTGAAGGACTGTGTTCCTGTTCAAGCTTCAGCTGCTATAGGAAATTATTTTTAGAACTTTTTAAGGATACCGTCACAATCTTCTGCCGCTGAAGCTGCTCAGAGATGGACTGGACATCTGGGAGTTTGGGGGTATCCCCGAATAGCCGGTGCGCTCCAGGGCCGGAGGGTGTCCACCCCCCATGTAGCTACTGCAGGTGTGACTCTGCCTGTCTCTAGCCTGGCCTGCCAGACTCGTCCTCTGTGTAATTCTGCACAGAGAGAGGCTCTGGTAGCTCACAGGCAGAGAGGCACTTGAGGGTGGGACTAGGCAGCTCAAAAGTAACCAATCAGAAAAAAGATGGAAATCCCGACAGTACCACACGATGCTGTAGTTTTCTAGCTGTGGTATAAAAGCGGTATCTGGCAACGATGCAAACATCTTTTATTTAAAGTGCTAAATGCTTTTAGAGCTTCTACTTGTGGTTTTAAAGACATCTGAGTCATTTAGACCAGAGGAAAGAGTCGCAGCAAACTCCGCCGCTGTCTTTGTTGTTTATGAGAAACTGAGCGTTGCTGTGTGTGACGTCCGCGACGCTGTAGTTCTTTAGCTGTAGTAAAAAGGGTATCTGGCGACGGCGCAAACATCTTTCTTTAGAATAAATGCTTTTAGCGCTTCTACTTGTGGTTTTAAAGACATCTGAGTCATTTAGACGAGGGGAAAGAGCCACAGCGAACTCTGCTTCAGTCACCATGTTTATGACAAACTCGGCATTGTGGTGTGTGACGTACGCTACTCAGCGCTGATTGGATAGGTTAGAACTCTCAGGGGGCGGGGTTATTTGAATAGGAGAGTTCCCAGAGCATTTCTCTGTGCAGGATTAAACAGAGGAGGAGTCTGGCAGGCCAGGCTAGCCTGTCTCCTCACCAGGATTGTTTACGTTGTTCCTGCCAGTTGTCCTTCCGGACTGAGCAAAGCTCCTTGTGGAGGCTTAACCCAGGCTCCACAGGTGATGTTCTGCCCCCTCGTTTTTGGAATAAATGTTCTCTTTCTTAACATTTGTTTCGATGTCTCACTATGGGGATACGCCCCTCCGCGGATTCCTCAGAAGCACTTATCTCAATACGCCAATCCTGATTGGCCGGTGACCGTGACGTACGCGTCACCTGCTACTATAAGTAGCAAGAGTCCCCACGCACGCACTATTCAATCGCCTCTTCTCGCTTCGGTGGTCGCTTGTCTCTGAGGTAAGTTAGCTCAACTGTTCACAGACGGAGCCAGCTAATATTCTCTCCGTCGCCGAATGTTAACTTACTGTCCTTCTGTCCTGACCTTCACCATAGGCTCGGGGCATAACGAGCAGCTTCACACTCCAGTGCAACTGGTCGTTCTCTGCTAACACACCAGTTAGCCAGCATGGAAGCCGCTCCTCCCACCAGAGGAGTCGATGGCGCAGGAGCTCACCTCTGTACCTGTGGGAACAAAACCTCAAGCAAAGACCCGCACAAGGTCTGCTCGAGCTGCCTCGGGCTGGAACACGCCCAGCTGGCATTGGAAGTCCCCGGGTCATGTGAGAGCTGTGCTTGCTTCACCCTGAAGAGCCTACGCCGGCGGCTAGCGCGCCAAGCTAGCCTGTCGGGGAAGGACCCTTGCCTGCCGGCCCCTGGGCCACCGCCTGGGGACGCCGGCGAACATGCCCTCCCGGAGCCGGAACCGTGTGCCGAACTCAGCTGGGGCTCACAGCTCGAACTGGCCGGTCCGAGCCACCCCGTCGAGGACATGTTGGAGTTGGACTACGGAGACGACGAGAACACCTCGGAACTCCTCATTTCAGAGGACGAGGATGACGACGTTTTTCTCCCCATCGCTCAGGCCTCCATGCCTAGCTTTCCGTCCTCTCCCAGGGATAGAGCGGCTTCTCCGGCTGCCCACCTGGACATGCAGTCAGTCTGCCGACGCGCTGCGACCAGGCTCAACATCCCTTGGCCCACCGTGGTCACTGAGGCTGTCAGATCCCGCTACTACGGTAAGAAGCTGCCTCAGGCCACAAGGGCGGCAAAGCCCCTCCTTCCCGCCTTCCCGGAGCTTCTCCAAGAAGTGAGGTCTTCCTGGGACAAACACCCTTTCTGCTCCAGGCCTCCTGTCCAAGGAGCCTCCTCGCTGGACTTTGAGGGGATGGAGAGGGCTGGCATGCTTCGCATGCCGCCGATGGAACCGCTGGTTGCAGCCCACCTGCACCCACGACTCTCGGCAACTTCCTCCAGGCCTCCCGCTCTCCCTGAAAAGGCGGACCGCTTCCAGTCGGCGCTGAACGAGAGGGCGTACAAGGCTGCCGCCATCTCGGTCCGAGCTTTGAATGTCTCCTCCATGCTCTCAGCGTACCAAGCCGAGCTCTGTGAGGACATGAATACGAAGTCGGACCCGGAGGTGTGGGAAGAAATCACCGTACTGACCGACATCTGCCTGCGTGTGCAGCGCTGCACGGTCCAGGCTACGGCTAAAACTATGGGCATGATGGTGCTTCAAGAACGTGCACGATGGCTGAACCTCACCAACCTCTCTGATAGAGAGAAGGAGGACATTTTGGACATGCCAATCGTGCCTGAAGGCATTTTCGGCTCTGCCCTGGCATCATTGCAGCAACGGTGTGAGGCCAAAAAGAAGGAGGATGAAGCCCTTCAACTCTGCCTTCCCCGTAAGCCTTCAACGGCTCTGCCGGCTCGGCCGACTCTTCCTCAGGCAGCTGCCAGAGCCCAGCCTCGGTTCCGGATCCCAAAGCGCCCGAAGACTCCGGCAGTCCAGCCAGCCCCTTCGGGCTCAGCGCCTCGACCAGTTTTGCCTCAGAGGTCCGGCAACCAAGCCGCTCCGCCGTCGGGACAACCCACCCGACCCGGCGGTCAGCAGGTGAGGAAGAGGAAGAGGGCAGCCTGATGGAGTTCTTTCCCTCCCAACGCTGCAGCTGGCAGTTCTCCGTTCGCCAGCTCCTCCTGTTCGACGTTGCCATGGTGCTTTCTCCCTTCCTCACGGAACCCCTCCGGCAGAGTCCCCGAGCGGTCCAGGGTGGGGCCAGGACGTGCAACCAGCTGTGCCGGCTCAAAACACACGTCACAATCACTCACATTGTTTTTTACAAACATGTCACGCTCAAGGAGCATTAAAACATTCGCTGCCGCATCCAGACAGAATGTCAAGGGCGCAGCAAAAATCAATAAAAATGTTATCCATGAGCGGTTCCAGGCGGGGGCGGCCCCTGGCGGACTTTCCAGCCAGCCACGGGTCGTCCCCGTATGCCAGGGCCGCCAAAGCACAAAGCCCCAGCGCATGCGCAGTGGTTGCCACGAGCACCGCTGCCCCACAACCTCTGGAGGGAGCTGCTGCTCCGTGTGTCACGGCTGTGTCACCGCTCTCCACTCACATCGAGGAATGGACAGCGGGTTCTGCTTCACATTGGGTGATAAGAACTATTTCGAGAGGTTACAGGCTCCAATTTGCCTCAGTTCCTCCTCGATTCTCCGGGGTAGTGTTCTCCCACGCCCAGGGGACGTCAGCTCACATCCTTCAGGGAGAAATCTCCTCCCTGCTGGAGAAGGGAGCGATATGCATTGTGCCTCCCGATCGGTCTCAGAGCGGTTTCTACTCCAGGTACTTCCTGGTCCCTAAACGGGGAGGGACCGGGATTCGCCCGATCCTGGATCTGAGGGCCCTGAACCGATGCCTCAGAAAGTACAGATTCAAAATGCTCACGCTCTCATCCCTTTTGCGTCTGATTCACCAGAACGACTGGTTCACCTCTGAGAGGGAGGGGCATTCGGCTGGCCACGTATTTAGACGACTGGCTCCTGCTGGCACGGTCCAGAGAGGAGGCAGCGTCAAACACGCTGGTTGTGATCCATCATGTGGTCTGGGTTTCAGAATAAACTGGCAGAAAAGCGCTTTACTCCCCTCCCAGAAAATAACCTTTCTGGGTCTGACTCTGGACTCTGGGGCGTTCACGGCCCGTCTCTCGGCACCGCGCGTGAACGGGCTCTCGTTCTGCCTGGCACGCTTCAGCCTACACGGTTCGGTGCGGTTTGCGTTATGCCTCAGGCTTTAGGGTCTCATGGTGTCGGCTATTTCAGTGGTACCACTCGGCCGTCTACACATGAGAGATTTTCAACGCTGGGTGGCTTCTCTGGGTCTCTCTCCAGTGCGCCACAGAGCGCGCAGGGTGACGGTCTCTGCAGCGTGCGTCGCGGCGCTCCGCTGTTGGCGTCACCCCTCCCTCCTGGCACAGGGGGTACCTTTGGGGTTGGTTTTCGTGAGGAAAGTGGTCACAACAGATGCGAGCCTGTCAGGTTGGGGGGGGGGGGGGGGGGGGCTCCTGGAGGGTCGCTCTGTCAGGGGTGTATGGAGCAGAGAGCTCTGGGGGACACACATAAATTATCTGGAACTCCTCGCGGTCTTTCTGGCCCTGAGGCGCTTCCTGCCTTTTCTCTCCGGCCATCATGTCCTAGTGCGAACAGACAACACCACGACTGTGGCTTATATAAACCGCCAGGGGGGCTGCGCTCCATGCAGTTACACACGCTGGCACGCAGACTGATCCTATGGTGCAGCAGGCATCTCCTCTCAATCAGAGCCACCCACGTCCCGGGTGTTCTGAATCGGGGGGCGGATCTGTTGTCCAGAGGGACACCCCTGTACGGGGATTGGAGCCTGCATCCAGCAGTGGTGGAACAGATTTGGATCCGGTTCGGCACAGCCGTGGTGGATCTTTTTGCCTCCAAGGAGAATGCTCAGTGTCCACTGATTTTCTCCCTGCGCGACTGAGACGCTCCACTCGGCGTGGACGCGCTGGCGCACGACTGGCCACGGGGACTGCTTTACGCTTTTCCCCCAGTGGCCCTGATACCACCCACCTTGCTGAGGGTACGAACCCAGCACCACACTCTCATTCTGGTGGCCCCATACTGGCCAGCCATGCGTTGGGTGGCAGACATTTTCCAGCTCCTGGAGGGCCAACCATGGAATCTGCCGCTTCGCAGGGACCTGGTGTCCCAAGCGGGAGGCTCAATCTTCCACCCTCATCCAGAACGGCTGGCCCTGTGGGCCTGGCCCCTGAGGGGTGCGGGCTATGGTCAGCAGAGCTGCCCCAGGCGGTCATTCGAACCATTCAGAATGCTAGGGCCCCCTCCAATAGGTCCCTATATGAATGTAAATGGAGGGTGTTTGAAGCCTGGTGTCAGGGCAGGGAGATCTCACCCTTCCAATGCCCTGTGAACGTCATTCTGTCTTTCCTGCAGGACTTGTTGGATGGGAAGAAGGCTTTCTCCACCATTAAAGTGTACCTAGAAGCCATTTCCTCCCGTCACTTGGGTTTTGGGAAGAAATTGGCAGGTCAACACCCCCTGGTGTGTAGCTTCATGAGGGGCGCACTCAGGCTTCTACCTGTGTCTCGACCCCTGGTGCCCTCATGGGATCTGTCCTTGGTGCTGTCGGCCCTCTCCGGGCCTCCATTTGAACCTATGGACGGCCTGGACCTTAAGATCCTGTCTCTTAAGGTGGTGCTACTCCTGGCTTTGGTATCTGCAAAGCGAGTTAGTGACTTACAGGCTCTCTCTGTGCACCCATACTGCACCCAGTTTGCACCAGGTGACATGAAGGTGTCCTTGAAGCCCAACCCTGCCTTTGTGCCTAAGGTAGTGGGCTCCTTTTCTCCTATTATCCTCACAGCTTTCTACCCACCTCCCTTCTCCTCTCCTGAGGAGGAGCGGTGGCACAAGCTGTGTCCGATTCGCGCGCTCAAGGAGTACGTGAATCGGACGGAGAACCTTTGCAGGGGGGACCAGCTTTTTGTGTCATGGGGTGGGCCTCGTAAGGGGAAACCCGTCACAAAGCAACGGCTTTCCCACTGGATTGTGGAGGCTATTTCTATGGCTTACTCCTGTCAGGGCATTCAGGCACCTGTTGGGCTCAGGGCCCATTCTACTAGGGGCCTGTCTGCTTCTTGGGCCCTTTTTCGGGGGCTGTCAATCCAGGAGATTTGTGCTGCAGCAAGTTGGGCTTCTCCACTTGCATTTGCATGCTTCTATAAGCTTGATGTTTCGGTCCCTGCGATGACTCACACAATTCTGAGTGTGGGGTCTTTGGCGGGCCAAGACCTATCCCTGTAGGTTGGTGATCGCTGGATAAGCTGTCTGGCAATACGGGAGTCTCCATATCCCATAGTGAGACATCGAAACGAATGTTAAGAAAGAGAACTTTAGGTTACTATCGTAACCCCGGTTCTCTGAGTAACATGAGTGAGATGTCTCACCATACAACCCTTCTTGCTGGGCGAAGCGAGAAGAGGTGTTTATCTTGAATAGTGCGTGCGTGGGGACGCTTGCTACTTATAGTAGCAGGTGACGCGTACGTCACGGTCACTGGCCAATCAGGATTGGCGTATTGAGATAAGTGCTCCTGAGGAATCCGCGGAGGGGCGTATCCCATAGTGAGACATCTCACTCATGTTACTCAGAGAACCGGGGTTACGACAGTAACCTAAAGTTTCTCTTGTTGGGGCTGCATACTTTCAACATAGTTAATACTAGATTAGCTGCATGGGTCCTAGTGACTTTAAGAGTGGTCATTCACTCACTTATAAAGGAAGGATGGATTCATCAACACCGGCCAACTTTAGGCCAGTTGCAAAGCTCCCTTTTTAATGACAATACGTGCACAGTCAGCTTGTGGGTGTATCAAAATGATCTTACACTTAGCCTAGCTTAGCATGTGTAGGCTCAGGCTGCTGCAACACATGTCTAAACATCCCCTAAACAAGTCGATGTTTACAAAGATAAATGTTCTCCGAGGTACGAACGTAGAAAGCAAAATCTGCGTGTTCGTGGTCCGTTAGAGGAAGACGTAAACACAGCAGGAGCGATGTCTGTGAGACATCTGAGTGGAGAGCGCTCACTCTGTCACGTTTCACACCACAACAAAGACTGTTTGCAACAGCGACGTCTCACTTTGATCCATTTTAAAAATCTAAAGCAATCAATCACTTGTACTGTTTATTAGTCAAAGTGTGTTTCCTATCAGTGATGACCCAAAGGCACACACACACACACACGCATCAGCCAGGATTATCTCAGAATGACATTCAGCGGCTAGGAGACACACGATTGTTTTTTGCCTCTATAGGGGAGACACCACACATCTTTTATATGATTATATCGGTATGGAAAACTAAAACATAGACACGGTCGCATATATCGAGCATCCCTCATACATATGCTAAATATTTTTCATGGCTATATTTAGAACAGGTGGACTAGTTTTGACAGTAGCTCTTCTGTTCCTCAGCATGGCGAGGAGGTTTCTCCAGCAGCTAGTGACCTAGCTATGGTGCTAACCAGAGGACTGAGTATGGAGCAGCAGAAAAACAGCAGAGACTCCCTGCAGTACTCCAGCGGCTACAGCACAGAGACAACAACCCCGTCCTGCTCTGAGGACACGATCCCTTCACAAGGTGAGACTCTTTAAATCTCCAGCTCAGGACAACAGCATGCATCACCTTTCACATATTCATCATCTTGTCTCTGTAGAATCTCCAAAGAAGCAACTATTAACAGGTTTTGAGGATAATATTGAGAGCTGCAATATGTTTTATTTGGGTGGATTTCTTTGACTTGAACCCTTGAATTCAGTGGGCCAACAACAGAAAATGTACATGATCTATTCAGACAGGTTTTCTGGTTGTTTTCCTGACAGATAATGGAAGTCATCAATGCAAAAATACATTTAAAAATATTACATCTGTTCCTGTGTCTGTCTGTTGGGTCTCAGTTGCTACGGTGACATTTTGGGTTATTTCCTCCACTGAACCTTTTCATTGATGTAGTTTCCCAGCAACTTGAAACTTTTGCTAAAATCGTTTTTGTTTCTCTTTCTCCATCCCACACGAACACGCATCAGGCTCAGATTACGACTGCTACTCGGTGAACGGTGACACCGAAGGTCCAGATGGACAAGTAGAGTTCGACAAATGCTCAACGATCCCCAGACACTCTAACATTGCCCAGAACTACAGGCGTATGATCCAGACCAAGAGGCCAGCCAGTACCGCTGGCCTGCCTAGTGGGGTTCTTGGTTCCGGGGCTCATGGGATACCAGGACAGCAGAGTGGAGCTGGAGGGGGAGGAGGAGGAGGAGCCGGGACTCCAGGTACCGCCACCATCCGCCGAACCCCTTCCACCAAACCGGGAGTGAGGCGCACAATGTCCAGCGCAGGACCCATCCCCATCCGACCACCCATTGTGCCTGTCAAAACCCCCACCGTTCCTGCTGACTCTCACTCACCTGGTGCAGGTGGAGGACAAGCTGGGGGCTTGCCTGTTCGAGTGGGGAGTGAGGAGTGCGTGTTCTTCGTTGGAGCTGAGGATGCACAAGGAGGACTTGATTATGTGAAGGCATCACCAAAGCGCCTCAGCCTGCCTAACACCGCCTGGGGTTCGGGGGCAGCGCTAGAGGTCTACGCCCAGCAACACGGGGGCTTCGCAATGGCCTCAGGCTCAGGAGCCGGGTCGGAGGAGGAGCAGATGATCGCAGCAAATCGGCACAGCTTAGTGGAAAAGATTGGTGAATTGGTCGCCAGCGCGCACGCTCTTGGCGAGGGGCAGTTTCCATTCCCTGCCCTCCCAGATGACCCAGCCCCAACACCAGCAGGTCCCAGTGACGCTCAGACAGGGACCGAGGGCATAGAAGGGTCCGGCGACATGCTGACCACCATCAGGAGAGGGGTTCGCCTTCGTAAAACGGTCTCTAATGACCGCTCAGCTCCTCGTATATTGTGATTAGCAGAAAAGAGAATCCTGGAAAGCAGGATGGTTGTCAGCTGATAGGGAGTCAGGTGTTGGTGTATTCCCACCACTTAGTGCACACACAAACCTATAACTGTGTTTGGATAAAACATACACAAATGACGTTTAAAGATACAGTTAGAGTACATACCATACAAATTAATAACCTTAATAATGGTAACCAGTGATGACAATTAAACGGTAAAACTTCGTGTTGAGCGGCTCCGTGCAGACCATAATAACTAGTGTGTGTTGGACGCATGCTTGTCTTCTGTACACCCTCACTCGGGTACGGAAGGACTCTCAAAAGAAGCAGATACGATTGAAAAAATGAGGCAAGGAAAGAAAGAATCTGTGTTCTGTTTGCCAACCCCCTCGTCGTTAGCTAACCCTGCCGTCTGATCCCAGGTGAGAGACAGAGGGAGGGACAACCGAGTGAGAGGGAAGTGAGGAGTGACCGGCTGGATCGCCTCAGCTGCAGTGCACTGAAGCGTCGGCACGAGCACGGGGAGCTAACAGACCGGACGGCCTCTCCGGTGCAACACAACGTTAAGGACTAAAAAATCACGTTGGCATTGAACCGTGCTCGTCCTTCTTCTTCCCTCTCTCACTGCTTTGTGTGAGTGTGCATTTGTGTGTGTGTGTGTGTGTGAGTGTGCATTTGTGTGTGTGTGCATGCAGAAGGAGGCAAACGTGTGGGGTACGTAATTGACTTAGTGTGTGTGTGTGAGCGGGGTGGGTAGAGCTCTGCTGCAGGACAGCTGGTTACCCATTGAGGGCAGGGCTTTCTCCTGTGTGTGTGTGTGTGTGTGTGTGTGTGTGTTCTCCGTGTGTGTTTTCTTGTTTATATTTGTGACGTCATTGACCACTGTATGAGGTGTTGTGGGACGTAACACAGGCGTAGAGATATATTCATATATATTTTCTAGAATCAGAGAGAAAATGTTAAATCAAAAATAACGGAGCAATAAATGTCTTATTTTTCTTGTTTCGGAGAGGAGGAGGGCTGGAGGATTGTCCTTTTGTCCCGTTCTGGCAATCCTCAGGAAAGCTTAATTAAACGTGGACCGTGAAGTCACGCATAGTCGGTTTAGCCGTGCGTCTTTCTCTCTGTGCCCGTCTCATTCTGATTAAAGAGACCGATCAGAAGACAAGAGCAGAAAAACTGTCAGCACTTTGATGGGGCAGAGTACTGTCGGTACAATAGCCGTAGATGTTGCTGTGGCCATGTGAAGGAGCTGCGTCGTGAGGAATTATTGCATTAATGACAGAAGAATAAGAAGAAAAGAGGGATATGGAGGAGGTGAAGAAGACTGGTAGCACAGGAGTGGTTGTTAGATGAGGAAAAGACAAAAACAGAAAATGTACGTCTGAGGGCACAATTGCACTGGTGTTGTAAACACTGGGGGGGGGGGGAGACATGCACATCATGAACGAGTGGGATCCCTTTGGACTTTTATTTTTCAGACACGCTAACTTTGAGTTTAAAGCTACACGTTTCTCACGTAGAGATCACGTCTTCAGCTTCACAAGACGTTGTGACGCCGCTCTGCTGTTCGAGCGCCATTTCAGATCAGGAAGAAAAAACTTTGGAGAAAGTCATTTAATGAAATTCCAACAAGTTCTGTCAACCAGACAGATCGGCAAGCGCAGAATCTAAATGAAACTCTTGATGTTGGTGATTGTTTGATGGGCTGACTAACCAGCATGAAGGCTGTAAACTGTAGCTCTGGTGCAGAATGACGTGTCCTGTGTGTGTGTGTGTGTGTGTGTGTGTGTGTGTGTGTGTGTGTGCATTCAGCAGTACACCAGCATACCTAACATCTGTGGCCTTGAGCTGAACCAGGCCGGTCTCCTCAGAACTCGATTCTACATCACAGAATGTTCTAGATTCACAGTAAACTCAGAAACGGCACGAGAACTACAGTTTCAGATTTAGAGACGGAGGCAAGGTCTCAGAGTAATGAAATCCAACATCTCCACCCATCCTTACTGAAACAACCATGTCTACCAGTGGTGTCCACACCTTTTGCCATGCGGGCCAAAATGAGTCAGGTTCAAACGGGTCTCATCAATGCCTTTAATCATTTAAAATAGCAAAATGATTATTTTGGTGGGCGCTAAAAGAACAATACATACACATTATTTCCATAAGAAGAAAGTTATGGGATTTGTGTAGAATAGAGAGCTGCTCGTCTCTGCATCCAGATCATGTAAGGGGTCCTGTGTGTTTGCCTTATTTTGGCACGTAACACTTGTGATAAATTTCACTTTAATATCAGGAGCAAAACACCAAACAGTCACTTTTTAAAGAGGTCCTTCTGTCCTATTTTAATACATCTGCAGTGGTCTCTGATGGGAACGAATGCCTTGTACGTCGTGGAAAAAAAGCTCTGGTGTTTCAGCACGAGGAGAACGTAGCTTCAGACAACAGGACATGGAGCCTGATGTTTGGACATCTCGCCTCTGACTGGCTAACAGGAATAAGGCTCTGCCACTGACTCTGGTTGCTCTGTAACGGTGATGTTTTATCTCCGCAAATAACACAAGCCGGAGGAGTTCTGCTGTGTGGTGGAGTTGCTAATGCTAACGGTTAGCTTCTACTAGCAGAGACGTTCTCTGCTGTTGCTTGGAAGCTAAACCATCAACAGCATTCCCCGTCGTGAGTCCAGATGGGTGAGTCCATGAATGTTAAGTGACAGTGTGACGTAGATCTGTCAGGATTTTCTAATCCTAGAGTTTCACTGTCTGTTTTCTGTCAGAAGCTACTGCAGCAGATAGGTGTAGGAGACTATTTTCATGTTCAGCCTGCATGGAAATCTCAGAGTGACCGATTATGATCAGAAATAATCATTAAATGGGCGGCAGTAGCTCAGGAGGTAGAGCTGATTGTCCAGTAATCAGAAGGTTGCAGGTTTGATCCTGGCTTCAACCAGAGGATGCTGCTGTCGTGTCCTTGGGCAAGACACCTAACCCACCTTGCTTGTTGATGGTCCTAGTGCCTCGCCTCTGTCAGTGCACCCCAGGATAGACGTGGCTACGTTGTAGCTCATCACCACCAGCCTGGGAACGTGTGAATGACTGGTTGTGTTGTAAAGCGCCTTGGGGGGTTGTAGAACCCTAAGAAGGCGTGACACAGACAGGCCGTTTACCCTCTAAATGATGTTTGTCAGTGAAGGACCCCTTTAAAATGTTGGCTGTGTCTAGTCTGGTGTTCTGAATGGTTTCTGCTTATTTAGCAAAGCTTAGTGGAGGTTTTAGTTTCTTTTAACATGAAAATAAAATAAAAGCAAAAACTATGATTACTAAAGGAGGAATATTAAAAATAATCAACATATTTTTACTCTAGAAAGTTGTCATATTCTAAGCGTTTTTATTCCTTTGCATTTTGTTTTGGGGTTCCAGTAAAAACTACTGCCTTCATTATTTTTAAAGGTTTATTTTTCAAACACCTGAGCTAGCGGCCAACATGACCCCACTCACACAACACTGATGTGTATTTTCACCTGCTGACCAAGGCTCCGCCCCCTAACACTCTGGATATCTTGTAGGTTATTTGCTGTTTGCACGTCCTGTCCACAATCAAAAGGAGCTTCTTTTGTCTTTCGAACACTTCCCAGAACGATGGTGTAGCAGCCTGTTTTATATCTGCCATCTGTTGTTGAGTTTTTCAATGGAGACTTTTTTCTGCAGTTTGTTTTCCCTTCATCCTGAACCTTGAATCTGTGTAACGGGAGAATATCTGAGAGGAAATTGTTTTCTGTTTGAAAGAGCTGAACACAGTTGGACGCTCGTGTTCTTAAAAACATCTGGAGTGGCTGGACTTCAGTTTTTCACTCATCTGTTTCCCTTCTCAACTGGTCTCACAAAGACATGAGCCACACACACACACACACACACACACACACACACTTGGCTGCAACATTCAGACTAAACTCGGACAACAAACGCGTTCACAAACAGCAGCTATCTAAGCGCTGAACGGTGTTGGTAAAGCTCACTGATTAGAGTTTTACTTCCATCAGCTTCAGCACCGTGGTGAATAAAATCTGGACGATAACACAAGAGGAGTTAAAGTCTCTTTACTGGAGCAGGAAGCAGCGGCATGAGTGGGTCCAGTGCAGTGAGACTCAGTGGGGAGGAGGACGCATCTGGATTCTTCATCCAGACCTTCAGCTGAGCACCAGAACCGAGGGCTTCAGCAGGCGGCGCTTTAGAGCTTTGATGAAACAGAAACTTTTATTAAGATGCAAAACGTCCATGACAACGAGCTGAAAGGGTCCAAAGTGTCTCTGATTTGAGTGAATTTAGCGTGGGACAAGAACCACCACCCTTGTACGGTTTGGCGAAGGACCCAGTTACAGGCTCAGGACTAGCCTGCGATGATTCTGGCATGAGAGGTAGACACCTGTGTGATGCGCTGATGACAGAGTGGGAGGAGTCAGACCAGAGGAGGAGGAGCATCTCACTGCCTGTTGTGCTGGACCTGTAGAGAGAGTCAGGCACACTCTGTGACTGTTTGAAGTTTTCATTTTATTAATGTAAAAAAAATAAAATAAGAAAGTTCCAGCTGTAACGACCTGCTGATCTGTGTGTGTGTGTGTGTGTGTGTGTGTCCTGGTTCGACTGCTACCTGGCTCTCCACCACACCTGCACCTATTCTAGCGGAGACTCTTATTCGTGGAGCGTTTTATGACCCGAGCTCCTTAAGGCTGCAGCGACGCTTCCACATGTGGATGTTTTGGTTTTGCTGACATGTTTTTTTTTTCGGTGAATCACTGTATTTTGACACGATGTGTTCTGACTGTGTGTTTCTACTTGGAAGTGAAATAGTTGGGTGGATTTGTGTTCGCACCACCCGTCAGAGCCACAGAACACAGACGAGAGTTCCAGAAAGCAGGTTATGTGACGCTCTGAGTAAGTTAACTCAGACTTTTGGGAAACCGTTCTGTCCCAACAAGATGAGTGAGTGAGAGAATAGTTAGCTCCTCCTTCCTGAAAGATGGAGCTCTAGCTTTCATTCCCCTCCTGAATCTTCTTTCTCCTGCCCTACAGAGGAACCAAACACCTCTGCAGAGAAAACCTTCAAATGTTGTCATCCTAAAACGGATCCGTGTGGAGTCAAATAGGCCCTATGCATGAGTGTGCTGTGTTAAAAAACTATTTTACAATATTTCTGATAATAAATCAATTGGACTTAAAGAAAAATTCCAAGGAGCCATTTGGGAGACATGGGATTCCCAGAGCCAGCAGCAGGCTCCGCCCACCTGAGGCTGACTCTTTCTTCCTGCACAGTCCCCCATTGATCACATTTATCAGAGTAACGTCCACAATCACATGAGAGGAAATGTTGTTTTACACATCGTCGTGTAGAACAGTGAGAGGATGACAGTGTAGGACATCAGGAAGTTTGGTATCTGGGACTTTGTGATGCTGGCTCCTCATTGCAAAGGGGGAATATTCAAACTGAACACAGTCTGAGTTAAGCCACCACTGAACTCAGAGTTCACAGATAGAGCCAGAGTTAGTGGAACCTCCTTTCTGGAACCTCCGCGATGAAGATGCGGATTGTACCACACAGTTAAACATGGACTCGGCTCTAAAGAGACTGAAAGCAATACAAAGGAGGTGTTCTTGTATCCATGGTGATGCTTCACTGTGTCAAAGGAAAATTCTGCTGCTTGTTGTTTTAAATAATCAACCTGGATTTCATCTTCAAGTCTTTCCACAAGTCTGTGAGCAGGTTCTTATGAGAGCCTGTAAAACAGAAGCTGTTAAACTCGTTTTAACAACTCCACATTATCACGCCTTCTCCAGGAGATGTGTAGGCTTAAGGCAGGGTGTGCATCAGGAGCAACGCCGACATGTTCCTAAAACCAAACTAGTTGTCTGAATGATAAACCATGCACCTATCAGCTGAAACCACCTTTCTGCTACTGTGTGTGTGTGTGTGTGTGTGTGTGTGTGTGTGTGTGTGTGTGTGTGTGTGCGTGCACTCACCAGAACGTACACGTGAGAATCTAAACACACAGCTTACACTCACTAATATCTTCTTCCAGCTAAAGCATCACATCAAGCTCTGGCTGATGGGACATGACCCAACCCTCTTTATTAACATTAACGTTAACATTTAGGTCAACAACTACACATAATACAGCTTTGCTGCTCTTTCTGCTTTCATTGCCTCTGACGCCTTCGATAGCGCTCACATACTAGACTATCCTGTCTCTCTGGGTACTGCTGCCCCTCAGAACGCATGTTAGATCAGACCGGTGGTTTCCCGTGCTGGGGTCAGGCCAATAAGCTCCTGAGAGGAGCTGAAGACATCAGATAAAATAAAACAGTCCTTCCTAAGAGCATCATTTCACTATAGTTGATATTCACCAGCTCCAACAGCCACAAGTGGACATATTCAGTATAACTGGACTTAAAGAGTTCGTGTTTCCATCATGTTCATGTTGAGTTAGCCTTTTAGCTACATTAGTCAACCAGCAATATTTGAGTTTACACGTTTTTGTGGGTTACAGATTTAGACATGTTTAGGAGTTAATCTTTGCTTTCAGAACAGACCCCACATTTAAGGCGTGTGCAGCCTCTGAAATATCTAATTGCTACACCGGTTCCTCCGGGGTGATGGGTGGATCTTTAACAGCATCTACGGCAACTAAACAACAGAACAGTAACACGGTTAAAGCTACTGAGGAGCCCTCTCTACATCAGAGGAGAATCACGGTAAAGCTAACAGGATGATGGGGGAGTGTAGACACGAGGGGAGGTGGGTGACAAATAGTTAGGGGTAATTATTTACATGAAACAAAAGAAAAAAAAGCCAACTGTGAAAGTTAAGGCTGAGACAAACCAAACGCCACCTAGTGGCTGGCTGCAGTACCAGGTTTTAAGCCCCGCCCCCTCCATATAAATCAAATGAATACTTTTCCCAACTAGAAAACAAAAACTTACCTCGGATCATTTTTCAGGTGTTTGCTCCTGTCGACCCTCAGAGGTGGCTCTTGTGCTGCCGTATGTCCAGATGTTTAATGTTCTTACAGATTTAGCCTTAATTCGTAATTCCATCTTCATGTGTAGGCGGGGCTTTCAGTAGACCGGTTTCAAAATTGCAACACGTCAGCACCTGTAAACAGAATTAAAATAAAATCAATCATTGTTTCTTTTGTAAAAATAAAAGGGAGGGGGTTGTTGCCAGAATTTACCTCTGCTGGACTCATCAGACTCATCAGACAGCAATGCTGTCATGGTGGATGCTGGGAGCCCCCATCGGCTCTGGTCTGTCCCTCTGTGCCTCTCAGCCTATCAAAGCTAATGAAACATAATTCAGATGAAGTCTTAATTTCCACCACAGTTCCTAGTGAATCCCCACTCAGCCCTGTTTAATATCCCCCCCACCCCCCCACCCCCCCTCTGTGTGTAAGCTTCATGTGTGTGTGTGTGGAGGTACTGGAGTGGGCCTGCGCCGTAATGGCTAACGGGTCCTAGGTGTGTTGTTTCAAAGAGTTGGAATCGTTAGCTGGAATCAACATCTTCCCGGTGGATGAGTCGGTTTCAAGGCCAGCAGATGGATGTCTAACACTCCATCTCGATGCTAGATTACGTTTTAATTCATTTTGATCAGGCTTTTAAGGTTTCTTTTTGGCAGCATCTCAAAGGCAGCTTATATCACTTTGTTGCTCAGTGAGCGTCTGACTCAAAAACCTCTGAGTGCAGCAGCAGTGTGTGCTGTCAGACTGTGAAAAGGCTCCGCGTACGGCCTCGTCCACTTGGGCGGAAACGGTCGCAGCCCTTTAAACGTACGGTGGACTCACTGCAGTGCCAAACTTCCTGAGTTAGGCTCCACAGTTTGGGCTGTTTGCTTTTCTAAAAGAAGATTTTTAGGTAAGTCCCAGAGTTTTTGTGCCCCCAACACACAGTCTCAGTCTAGTTCTCATGATATCAATTAGAATGTGTGATTTTCTGTAGAGGATCACAGCGTAGGGAGCATTTTTCAGTCAGATCGAAGGATTTGTGTTGTTATTCCTGCAAACAGGAATGTTGCTAAACACGTTTTAAACGGTTGCTGCTTGTGAACGCTCTGTGTTGATCTCAGTAGATATTTGTGAAACACAGATTTGTCATTGTCGCTTTAATTGGTTTATTGGTAGCTTCATTGGTTTGGATCTCCTTGAGCCCACCTCCCGCGACAGTACAGACTGCAGCACAGCTGACATAGAACCAGGCACAGTCGGTCAAGATCAGGAAATCAATTCACCAAACTAACCAGATATTTATCAATGAAAAACACGTTTTTGTTTGACATATTTGAGCTCAGACCGAAACTGCTGCTTTCTCACCTATTTCTGTGGATTTGTCCTAAAACGTTTACATAATGTTAAATAAAGGTGGGCCTATGCTGCTGCTTGTTTCTGGTTTCCAGCTCCTTACACTGGTGCCGCTTGCATTCGTTATAGAAACCTTACAGCAGGTTAGAAACGTATTCCCCGAGGCGTAGATCTACCAAGTCTTTACCAGCTGTGGCAGATTTTCATTTCCTTTGATATGGATTTAGTAAATCTGCAGCCATGGCAGATTTTCTGTTCAACTCCAACAACATCAGTAAGACAGACTCATTGTTTGGAGACTGAAATTGACATTTATGGCGGTAAAAATGTCAGATTGTGCTGGTCGCGTTTCCAGTCACCCTCTGGCCTGCTGATAAGGTGATTCACTGTGTTTAGGAATTCTTCCGAGAGCCTCTGATCCTTGGAGGCTTGTTCATGTTGGTCTCACAGCTGTGGAGGTGTTACTGACTGAATGGGTGGTGTGTGTTTTTTTACTGGAAGTTACAAGAAATAGCCCAGGGTTTGGTGTTTTAAACCGTCTAAAGCAAAAACCCAGTCATCATCAAGAAGAAGGATTCATGCAACAAGTAACGGAGATTTCTAAATCAACGATAGCTCTCGTGGTTTCCAAGATACTGGACTGGTTTAAACTAGTCGCTGAGATTAGCAGTTTGGTGGCCACCATCAGCCAACTTTTCTCAGCTTATAAACCTCTTCACCAACATCATGAGTGTTTCTACAGCAACTGAGTTTGGTAGAAAGTTGGAAGACATCCACTGTTGGCAATATCTCTCAATTTAAATGTTCTTAGACTCCAGACATTTGATGTAAACAGCTGTGTGCTGTTTTTTCTGTTTAGAATAAACATGCAACAAAACAACAAACTTGAATGTAAAATGAAAAAGGCTGTTTGTTTAGTTTTCACTAGCTAAATATTTGGTAAATGATTGATAAAAGAAAAGCCACACAGCTGGTTATTATCACACAGGTTGTTTTGCGTTCAGATTAAAATAAGAATCATAAAGTTGTTATACACAACCCACTCCCTAAGCCATCTGTGCAAGTTATATTTAGTGTGTGTGTGTGTGTGTGTGTGTGTGTGTGTGTGTACTGCACAAGGACACGTGGTTAAACCCCTACTGTTCCTCCCTTTCAGTTCCCACACACAATCTGTCAGTCCTTCTTGTTGTCTAATACTGAAGGAAAGCAACATATCTCCTCAAACACACACTCACACACACTCGTCTGTACTGAAGATGACAAAGGTAGGTCCTCGGTGGCCGTGTAAGGCTCCACTGATGTCCTCTAGGGGACTCATGATGCAACTCACTGAAACTTGCCATCAAACAGTCATCCACAACCAAGTAGCCAAAATGTCCTCCAGGTGCCACCGTCACTGTAACTAAACTAAATGTCTTTATTCTCTTTCTCTTCTTCATTGACAGCTAATATTTGAAGTCCACTAAGAAATAGCCACTAAAGTCTCCAGTGAGATGTTCACTAAGGTTTAATTGAGAACATTATGACAGTACTCAACACCACTCATCCCTCCTTTCTCCTTCTCCTCTGTGTATCCCAGCAGCCACTGTGCTCCTGCAGCCACTGTGCTCCTGCAGCCACTGTGCTCCTGCAGCTACTGTGCTTCTGCAGCCACTGTGCTCCTGCAGCCACTGTGCTTCTGTAGCTACTGTGCTCCTGCAGCCACTGTGCTCCTGCAGCCACTGTGCTCCTGCAGCCACTGTGCTCCTGCAGCCACTGTGCTCCTGCAGCCACTGTGCTCCTGCAGCCACTGTGCTCCTGCAGCCACTGTGCTCCAGCCTCTCTTTTTGCTTTCTTTATTTGGTGTCGTTTTATTTATTGTCATCATTTCAAAGGTTGTTTTCCCTCTGTTGCTTATGATAACATTTATTTCTGTCTTCCTCTTTGTAAAACTGACTCTTTTTGTTAACTTCAGCCACTGCTAATGTAACAAAACGCACTGTGATGATTCCAGTATTAATAAAGTTGTACTTAAACTGTGTGCTGCTGTCTGAAACTGGTCTTTGTTCAGCATCTGCAGCTGCTGGATGGGTGTGCCTGTCAATGCTCAACGGTATCAGAAGTCTATCAGTGGGGCGAAGTCTTATAATCACCATTTGATTCCTTCCTTCATTCATTCATTCATTCATTCATTCATTCATTCATTCATTCATTCATTCATTCAAAAAAGTTAAACGTTATTCCCAGTGTTCAAATGTAATTTCAAGTAAAAATGTTTGAAGTGAATATTTAGGATTATGACCAACAATAAAAAGGGTTATTTCTCTGTTTAAATATTATCATGGTGGTTTGGTCCCTGACCAGACAAAAGGGCAGGGTGTAGAGACCCCCTATCTAAGGTCTCCCATCCATCCATCCATCCATCCATTTTCATCCGCTTATCTGGAGTCGGGTCGTGGGGGCAGTAGCCTAAGGCGAGAGGCCCAGACTTCCCTCTCCCCAGCCACTTGGGCCAGCTCCTCCGGGGGAGTGCCAAGGCGTTCTCTGGCCAGGTGAGAGACATAGTCCCTCCACCGTGTCCTGGGTCTACCTTTAGACCTCCTCCCGGTTGGACGTACCTGGAAAACCTCACCAGGGAGGTGTTCAGGAGGCATCCTGACCAGATGCCTGAGCCACCTCTTCTGGCTCTTCTCAATGTGGAGGAGCAGCGGGTCTACTCTGAGCCCCTCCCAGATGACCGAGCTTCTCACCCTATCTCTAAGGGAGAGCCCAGACACTCTTCAGAGAAAACTCATTTCGGCCGGTTGTATCCGCGACCTCGTTCTTTCGGTCACTACCCACAGCTCATGACCATAGGTGAGGGTAGGAACGTAGATCGACCGGTAAATCGAGAGCTTCGCCTTCTGACTCAGTTCTCTCTTCACCACGACAGACCGGTACAACGCCCGCTTCAGTAAGCTGTGTGCTCCATCTTTCCTCCACAGGCCTCCCCGAGGGACACGGTCAAACGCCTTCTCCAAATCCACAAAACACATGTAGACTGGTTGTGCAAATTCCCACGCACCTTCCAGGATCCCCCTAAGGGTATAGAGCTGGTCCAGTGTTCCACGGCCAGGACGAAAACCACATTGTTCCTCCTGAATCTGAGGTTCAACAATCCGACATACCCTCCTCTCCAGAACCCCTGAATAGACCTTACCAGGAAGGCTCAGGAGTGTGATCCCCCTGTAGTTGGAACACACCCTGCGATCCCCCTTTTTAAATAAGGGAACCACCACCCCGGTCTGCCAGTCCAGTGGGACTGTCCCCGATGTCCATGAGCCGCGTCAGCCAACACAGCCCCACAACATCCAGAGCCTTAAGGAACTCCGGGCGGATCTTATCCACCCCTGGAGCCTTGCCACAGAGGAGCTTTTTAACCACCTCACTGACCTCAGCACCAGAGATGTGAGAGGCCAACCCAAAGTCCCCCAGACTCTGCTTCCTCACTGGAAGACTTGTCGGTGGGATTGAGGAGGTCTTAGAAGTATTCTGCCCGCCGATCCACAACGTCCTGAGTAGAGGTCAGCAACACACCACCCCCACTATAGATAGTGTTGGTAGTGCACTGCTTTTCCCCCCTGAGGCGCCGGATGGTGGACCAGAATCTCCTCGAAGCTGTACGGAAGTCTTGCTCCATGGTCTCACCAAACTCCTCCCATGCCCGGGTTTTTGCCTTGGCTACCACCCGAGCCACGTTCTGCTTGGACTGCCAGTACCCGTCAGCTGCCTGGAGTCCCACTGGCTAAAAAGACTTGATAGGACTCTTTTTTCAGCTTGACAGCATCCCTAACCACCGGTGTCCACCAATGAGTTTGGGGGTTGCCACCACGACAGGCACAGACGATCCTGCGACCACAGCTCCGGTCGGCCGCCTCAACAATGGAGGCACAGAACAGGGTCCATTCAGACTCATTGTCCCCCGTCTGCCCCGGAACATTTTGGAAGTTCTGTCGGAGGTGGGAATTGAAGCTCCTTCGACAGGAGACTCTGCCAGACGTTCCCAGCAGACCCTCGCAATACGTTTGGGCCTGCCTGGTCTGACCGGCATCCTCCCCCACCATCTGAGCCAACTCACCACCAGGTAGTGGTCAGTTGACAGCTCCGCCCCTCTCTTCACCCGAGTGTCTAAGACATGCGGCCGCAGGTCAGATGAAACAACAACAAAGATGTTATCAAGTTTCATTTGATGTCAATTCCAAAAGGATATGACTGATCCGAGTTGATAGACAGATTGAAAATGTTGTCCCAATGCTGAAAACATTTAAAACGCAGTCTAACAATAATTTAGTTTTAATTGTACCAAACTTTCAGTTAAAAACAGTGTTTTATCTCAAATTTGAGTATTTTGAATGTTATTCGAAATTCTCTGATGAATCAGTTGCAGCTTTTCTCCATCAGATTGTTGAAAAGCAGAGTTGGAACGACCACGCTATGCTGATTTCACAGAACTGTCAAAATACAACCAATTAGCAATCCCAGGAGAATTTGGAATTAATTTACAAATTCCCATGCCTTGTGGATTCACAGCAGTCTGTTCAGGGTGGAGGACTCATTTTAACTCAGAAAGGCCTGAAAAACGCACACAAGCCATGACTTAAGTAACTGCTTTAACCCTTTTTTGAACAGTTTTAACACATTGGTAGATTTTGAGTGAGCTGAAAAGTGCATCCTTAGATATTCTTTTGTTTTTCTTGACATTTCTGCATCTCTAAACCTGTGTCGTAAGATCAGCTGTTGTTTTCAGAGACCATCTTCCATGTAGCTCTACAACCTCTGGTCACTTTGCTTCCTTTGAACTGCAGCTGATTAAAGTCGGGCGTAAGGACCCGTTCTACTGTGCTGTGGTCTATCGTCCACCTGGTCCAAACAGTTCTTTCCTTCAGGAGTTTAGTGACTTTCTATCCTCCACTGTGAAGCTGTCCAGACTGGTGATTGTTGGTGACTTTAACATCCACGTTGATGATCCCTCTGACCACTTTGCCACAAATTTCTCCAGCCTTATGGACTCCTTCAGCTTTATCCAGCATGTTTCTGGCCCCACACACACCAGGGGGCACATTCTAGTCTAGACCTTGTTTTTACCCTGAGTCTAAATGCTGACAGTGTTTGTCCTGAGGACGTTTATATTTCAGATCACCATTGCATTTTCTTTAACTTGTCAGTTTCTGCGTCCCCACCTCCTGCTCGCCGTCTGGTTAGTTCTCGTTTTCTTAATGAGAGCACAGCTAGAAATCTTTCTGCTGCTTTTTATCTACCCTGTTCTTCTGATAACGACCCAGATTCCTTAACTTCTCAGTTTAACGAGCACTGCCTCTCCATTCTGGACAACATCTGTCCTGTCAGAACCAGATCAGTTCCTGCAGTGAACCCTACTCCCTGGTTTAATGACAGACTTCGCAGCCTGAAGCGCCAATGCAGAAAAAATTGAGCGTTTGTGGAAGAAAACCCATCTCCACGTCCATCTGCTGCACCTAAAGGATCTTCTGCCATCCTTTAACTCTGCAGTCAGAGACGCCAGGGTTTCCTATTTCTCCAACCTGGTGTCCCAGAGCAAAGGGAAACCCAAGATGCTGTTTAGCACCATCAGCAGCATCGTTTCTCCTGCCTCTCCTACAGCCTCCATCCACTCTGTTACAGACTGTGAGAACTTTCTGTCTTTCTTTGTGGACAAAGTCAATAAGATTAGATCTAGCATCTCTAAACTTCCGTTCATCTCCAAGATCTTGGAAAAGGTTGTGGCTAAACAACTCACAGCTGCTCTTGATGAACATAACATCTATGATAGCTTCCAGTCAGGTTTTCGTAGAGCTCATTCTACTGAAACAGCTCTTATTAGGGTCTCTAATGACCTTCTGGCTCACAGTGATGCAGGGGACTGTTCTGTTCTGGTCCTGCTGGACCTGACTGCAGCCTTTGACACTGTTGACCATCACCTGCTACTGGAGAGGCTGAGAGACTAGGTAAGCCTATCAGGATCTGCTCTGGAGTGGTTCTCCTCTTATCTTTCTGAGCGCTTCTTTTCTGTGGCCGTCTCCAAGTTTAGGTCCTCCACCACCTCTCTTACCCATGGTGTCCCACAAGGTTCTGTGCTGGGGCCTCTGCTCTTCCTCCTCTATGTGCTCCCTCTTCAGCACATCCTGAGCTCCTTCAAAGGAATCTCCTACCATCTTTACGCAGATGACATCCAACTGTACATCTCCTTTAAGCCCCATGAGATGTCTAAGCTGCAGCTGTTACACACCTGCTTAGACTCTATCAAAACCTGGATGGTGGGAGCTTTCTTCAGCTGAATGAAGATAAGACTGAGATCCTCATCTGTGCCCCAGACAAGCTGGTTCCCAAAGTCAGAGACTCTCTTGGTCATCTTGCTTCTCACACCAAACCTTCTGTCAGGATTCTTGGTGTGACCTTTGACCCAGCTCTTACCCTGGATTCTCATGTCAGTTCTCTTGTTGGCTCTTCCTTCTTCCATCTCAGGAACATTGCTAAGCTGAGTCCCATTCTGTCCCGCTCTGAACTTGAGACAGCTCTCCACACCTTCATCTCCTCATGCTTAGAGTACTGTAACTCTCTTTTCACGTGTCTGAGCAGAACCTCCCTGAACCGTCTACAGGTGGTTCAGAATGCCTGTGCTCAGCTTCTGACCAAGTCCTCCAAACACACCCACATCACCCCGCTTCTCCTCCAGCTTCACTGGCTGCCAGTCAACTTCAGGGTTCATTTCAAGATCCTTGTTCTGGTCTATAGGTCCTTACATGGACCAGCACCATCTTACATTGGTGATCTTCTTAGTCCCTACACCCCCAGCAGGTCCCTGAGGTCCAGTGACCAAAGCCTACTGGTTGTGCAGCACCAGGCTAAAGACCAAAGGTGACAGATCATTTGCTGCTGTGGTCCCCAGACTCTGGAACTCTCTCCCCCTGAGCCTGAGATCAGTGGACTCAGTGGTCTCCTTCAAAAAGCAGCTGAAGACTCACTTGTTCAAGCTGGCTTTTGTAT